TGCTAAGCACCACACAAAGCCACCTTGTGAGAAACTGCCCTTTATTTCTACATTGAGGCAGTTTGTGATTAAAAGCATCTTCAATGTGCAATAATCGACATTGCTATCCAAAATTATTTTTTCTCATTACTATCACTCCTATCATATTCTAGAGTGCTCACAGCACATTACACTGTCTCTGCGAATTATACAACGCAGTAATTCTGACAATTCAAACAGCTGAATTAGTGGTCCGTATGGGAAAATATAATACAGACCCATATGTGAATCACGGAGTAACAATGCAATTTCTACACATATACTATACATTTTAATTTTAACCTTCAGTGGGCTCTGATTCCCAGTGTTTTAATATTCCTAGCTGTTTTACTGTGTGAATCATTTACTTGGAATTCATCCATTCAGTGCATTTCTAGCAATTCTGTCTTTCAATAAAAGCTGATTCAATTAGAACAGACTTACAGAACCCATATGGTTTTATCAGTCCCTGTATAAATGTGCAGAAAACTACCCCTTGAGGCTGCGTCCCTATTTAATCATTCCCTTTAAGGGAATGCCCTATTTTCCAGCTGGCATTTAACAGATGAGGCCAGCAAGTCTCCTGCAGACGACTGGTGCAGTGCACGAAGGTCTGCCCCAAGCAGAAATATCTGTATCAGGGCCTTTAGAGAACCTAAATTCATTTTCATGAATAGTATTTAAAGCAGCTATCAAATGTTACTTTTTCAACAACCATTTCTAAGATTTCAACCTCTCACGTGTTATTAAAAATTCTTCCCCATGCACCACAAACCATGTGGTTCATTGATGTTCAGCATAAGAGATGTTTATATTGAAAAAGTTCTGTTTGAGAAACATATAGAATCAACCAATTGCTGCTTCCTGGATAACAGTTTGCTACACATGAACAGTGCTCAGAAGCTCAATTTCCTTAACAACATTCCCTGAGGAGGCAGCGTTTGGGAGTCTGCAGAGAAGGCAGTGGGCACAGCCACCTAGATCCTTGGGGTTCAAGGGGAATCCCAATTCATGGTGGCCTCTCCCAACTTCCAATCCCACAAAGGATTGGATCCTCCAGGCTGCTCCTCTGTTCCCTTCCTGTACAAACTGTGATGCTTCTTGCTAAAAAGCACCATGCAAAAAAAACACACGCAAAAAATGAGGTTCATACCAATGCAGAAGCACAGACACTGTTGCACAAAACAGGATAAATATTTGGCATAGATAGTTTTGTGACCCAACAGGAAAAGACTCATTTCTGATTATTTCTTATTTGCTCTGCACTGTTGGGTGTGTTTGATCCTCCCAGAAGGTTGTGGCATCCCAGGAATGATGCCTTCACTCTGAGGCAGCCCCACAGAGATGACCACTTTTGAGGAGACGCAGAGACTACCTGCTGCCACTAAACCAGCTCTCAACAAAACCGGTTTATTCACAGAAGATGATGCCACAGAATCACTCATCACTCTTCTTCATTTTTCCTTTCTCAGTCAAATACAGAACTTCCAGCTCATGACACTGAGTATCCAACATGACAGTGTTCGTAAGAAACAAATTTCACTGAATGTGTCAAACCAAGCTTTTTCAGCTTGTAGAATTAGCTCTATTTTTAGATAATAATTTTAAAAATTCTCATTAATTCACACATTTTCTTCCTGAGGAGCACTGTCATTCGACCTATGTGGTTCAGATATGCTATATTCAAGTTTCACAGAAATGCTTAAACATTAGGCCAAGACTTTCAATAAGTCAGAATAGGAAAGTTTCCATTCAGTTATTCAAGATGCCCTCTCTTTCCCCCAGCCCTACCCAATCTCTTAAAAAAGGCAAGAAAAGGCTTGCAGCAAACTTCAAGGTGGTATCTGGTAGTCTTCATCCTGATCTCTGATGCCAAGTTTGCCAGCCAACAGGCTGCCAACCACTTTCTGCAGCTGAGCTCTCCACATTGGAGCCTGCTCTGCATTGGCGCGCCACACACCCGTGCAACGAGCTTCGCAGAAACAGGCAGTTCTCAGCATCTCCCCGTCCTACTCATCCAAAAAAGCTACTGCACGAAAGCAGCAGCACAAAAGGTACACTCAATCAGCCGGGAAGATAAAGTGTTATTTAGGATCTTGGGAATTTGCCTGCAAAGGGAATGCTGCCCTAACCTGACTTTCAAGATGGAAAGCGCAGATATTTGTACCAGGGTATAAACAGGCATGGAGGTAGTTACATCAGCAAGGAATAAACTGTTATTAAGAAGTCACAGGGCAGATGTAAATTCTGACCATTCTATAGGTGACAGTACAAGAGCTTCCTTCTTATCGGCAAGACTTTTATTTATCATATTGGATCTCCAGGTAGGTCCTTCAGACCAAGACAGCTAATTATGTTACTGAGAACAGATTACGGTAAGAGTAAGGCTATGGTACAGTGAGACTACCACTGGTGGAACTAAAACCGAAGATGCTATTTCCACTAACAAAATAAAGCTAAACATATTGAAATGCTTGCCACTAATGCCTAAAAGGAAAATACACAATAATGGAAACAGAAAGGAAAAGCATGCCCATTATTAAATAGAGAAAGCAAGCTAAGAGCAGATGGCATGAAGGCTTCCTTATTCTCCATACAGAAGTTTAATTCCATATAATCAAATTATACAAGGGAATATGAATACAATTTACAATAGGAGACAGAGCAGACTGCTGAATGCTACACGTGGCAGTCAATAGCATCTAACGAAATTCACTCTAAAAAACAAATCATTCAGAAAACTACGGGAAGAGGGTAAAGTCACCTAGTACTACAGAAGAGGGGAGGGGATCACAACATGAGTGAATGAAAATCGAGGAAACTGAGGGACATTTGGCCTAACTTTGAACCTCAGGAAGATCCTAGAACATTTTTTTAACCATCAATTAAAAGCAATGTAAAGGACAAAGCCAATGGGCTTAGCACGTCTAGTTTCTCTCCAACAGAGAAACTGGCCCAGTGACTGGGGAGAGCAGCAAGTGCCCTGACTTGTGACACAGCCTGAAATGCTGCCTTCTCTCGCAAAAATACACAGACATATATAAATATGTCTGTGTATAATCAGGCCAGACAAGTGCATAACGACAGAAAATAGCCAAGTAAAAGTGCAGCACAAAAGCATGTAAGACTGTACTGGACCAAGGACATCACAGCACAGAGAAGGCAACATCACAGTTCTGCTGCACCAAAGGGAAATTTTCACTCCAGGCAGCACCAACAGCCCCACTATTTAAGCAAGACTTTGGAAAGGAGCAACCCCACTAAGCCTTATGCTAGGAGTGACTAAGCTGAAGGTCTGGCTGCAGTTCGGAGGCACCACGGTAAGAAAGAGGGGCAGAAGCGAAGAGTCAGAATAAAGAACCACAACAGACACCGAGGAAACCTGTGACCTCTGAAAAGGCTGGTGCAATTTGGTTTGTCTACGAAAGAAAGATTCGAAAAGAGAGAGAAGATGATGAGTGAACACGAAAACTACATTCTAATAACCACAGAACAAGTATATTGGGAATTTCAAACTTCACTGGGAATAGGGCATGTACAAATCAGCTTAACTTGCTGAACAGAAGGGCTGGATATCTCTCTAGAAAAACATCAAGAATACAAAAGCACTAGAAATAGGGGGCTAAAATGTTACTATTATTCCAGGTCTTCACTGGAGGCTTTTTGTGACAAAACTGAGATAAATCTTGCCCAAATTTACCGACTGTCCTTCAATACAGGGAACTAAACTCCCCGAAGACCTTTTCCATCCTGTGTTGTAAGGCAGCAGGGATGAGCCAGGCTATCCTTAAGATGCACATTAGCCTTCTTAGAAGCATTCCCGTAATGAACCCAAGTGTGTTCAAAGCTTTATTACTTTAGCAACCATGGAAAACACATACAAATATGTATTTCTTGTCTTTGGACAAGTACAGGTAATACGAACAAGCCATTCCTAACCAGAAGAACCTTCCTCTGACCCTGCGGAGCCTATTGACAAAAAGGGCCTTCCAGGGGGCTAACTCCCTAATGAGGTCTGGGATAACCCCTTGGACAGCTCTAGTTACCAGAGAAGGGTAGAGACGGAGCTGTCTGGAAAGGGAGGACTTGTTTTCTGTTTTGTGTATGTTTAATTACATAAGACTTATACACACAGAAGGCCAAATCCCAGTGACAGCTACCTAAATTGCCAGCTGAAGCTGCCTGCTGCTATGATCACCCCTTCGAATGTGATGGAAAAAGAAACAACTAACCTAGGTTTAGGCCTGGCTTGGATTAGCATGAATGGGCCCCACTGTGTCACAGCCTAAAATCTAATGTTTTGGGGAGCCTGTAATAAAAGAGAAAACCAAATAGCAAAAACAAAAAGAGATTTATGGAATAAAGTCAAATTAAAAATACCAACCTCACAGACATTTTTTTCACGAGCTGTTTAAAGTAATGGATTAAAATATCTGTCTGGTTCAAATTACATAGACTTAAAAACAGTTTTTTTTAAAAAAAAAAAAAGCAGGTTATGTAGCCTTTCAAAGATAAGCTTTATCTTTTATCTTCTTTTAACTGCTTGTTTATTCTTCATGCAAACTGTGCGTATCAATAAAACAAAATCTTTTTATTATTATTTTCTTCCTCATGGGAAAACAAAACAGAATCTCTTTTTCATTACCCTGTGCAAAATCCCAAAATTTCACTGTATTTTCCAGGATAATAATCGCTGCTATGACGCAAAGAACACTTTTTAAAGCTATGTAAAAAAGATTTGAGGCCCAGAATGTCTACATTACATGATGCATATACACAGGCTAAAAGGAAACTATTCACTAATATTCTTCCTCATAATAATTTGAAACTTGAGCTAACAACACAAGACTTGCAATACAGAGCTTGGCAAACCATGTAGTTTATTTTTTTCTACCTCGCTTCACTCCCGCAAACATTTCCTTCTCCAAACCACCACGTATAATGAGCAGCTCTTCAGCACGTTAGGCTCGATTTAGGCTTACCCTCGTAAAGTCACCACGACAGCCAGTCCTTCCTCTTTTCCTCCTTCGCAACCGCCCATATTCACACACACACACAGAGGCTACGTACTGCAAGGGACAAGAGAGAGAAGAGCAGCCTCCGAGGCTGCTGCGGGACGGACGCGCTGAAGCAGGCGCGCACGGTTAGCACCAGCGCTGTCCTCAGCTGTACTGCAGTTCAGCAG